TCTCTGTCCCAAAAATAAATAAAAAAAAATTGAAAAAAAAAATTAAAAAAAAAAATTATCTACAAATCCAAGATAATAAATTAAAATTGGTATTTGAAAGGACAAGATGAGAATCAGAAGGATATAATATTGTGGGAGAAAAAGAAACGTTTCAAGAAGAGCTTGGGGATAAGAGTGGTAAGGAACAAAAAAACTACACAGAATGTGAAAGAAGTCACTCCATTTGGCAATGGAAGAAGTTGCTGAAAACACACGAGAAGACATCTGGGAAGACATCTGAGTAGCGGTGCTTTGAGTAGAATAAACAAGAGAAACCCCTGCACGTGGGCAAGAACCTCAGCAGCATTGTGTTTAACGCACTTGAAAACACAAATGTTGTCAACTAAAGAATAAACTGTAGCATATGTATACAATGGAATTCCATAGGCACGGGTTGTTATACTATTAATTGGCTTCCATCTTCAAACCCACCCTTCCAGGCTCTGCTTTGTGATGCTGAGGCTGAGACTCAGAAACCTTACTTCTTTGCCACATGGCTCTCTGTTAAAATCTGCGAACAGGAAGAACAAGAGGGAGACCAGAGGTCGTCAGAAGAAAAGACACTGTCGTCCCTATTGGCGTCCTGTTCCCGCCCATGTTCTGCCCCGCCCCGGGCCCAGAGTGTACCCTGGCAGGCACAGCAGGCTGCGGTTCACAATTTTCCCAGCCCTGGCAGAACCAGCCTTTAGCATGTCTCCTCAGGAACAGCAGTACCACTGAGGCTGGTTCCCCCTCATCCGAAGTCCAGGTTCCAGCTCTCACGGGCCCCTCCGTCAAGCTTCTAGGTGTTAATAACTGCAACTCGCTCTGGCTGTTTTCCTAGCCCGAGAGATGGGAACTGTTTCTTGCAGTTACTGCCTACATGAAATCTTGATGAGGTCTGTTTGCCTTTGCAATTTTCCAGCACCAATTCAGCGGGTCTTTATATTAAACATGCTCAGTTAAAATAACTGACTAAACTCTGACTGAAATATCAGTGAAAATAAATGACATAATTATATAACATAAGTAAATTTCATGAACATTAATATTAAGCAAAAAAAGCAAATGATGCAACATAGTATTAGCTCATTTATATAAAGTTCCAAATACATATAACACTGAACGTTGTTTAAAAAACAATTATGTATTAGACTATATAGGACAAAGGTTGGTAAACTACAGCTGCAAGCCAAATCTGGTTCACTGCCTATTTTTGTAAATAAGGGTTTATTAGAACATAGCCATGTATGTTAATTTACACATTGACTCTCTTCACACTACAGTGGCAGAGTTGAGTAAGTGAGACAGAGACCACATGGCTCACAGAGGCTAAATATTTACCATCTGGCCCTTTACAGAAAAAGTTTGTCAACTCCTGACATAGAAAAACAAAAGAATGATGGGGCACCTGGGTCAATCAGTCAGTTAAATGTCCAACTCTTGATTTCACCTCAAGGGAACCAGGTTGAGATTCTCTCCCTGTCTCTCTGCCCTCCCCTGCTCACTCTCCCTCTCTCAAAAATAAATAAGTAAACTTAAAAGAAAAGAAAAGAAAAGAAAAGAAAAGAAAAGAAAAGAAAAGAAAAGAAAAGAAAAGAAAAGAAAAGAATGATAAACACAAAGTCCACAATAGGTATTACCAAAGAAGATGACAGAATACGGGAAGGACATACCTCTACAGCCGCATGGTATGTATGCATGTACGCAATGGCATCACTGCAATGCAGTGGGGAGAAGAATGGTCTTCTCACTCACGGGTGCAGACCAATAGACTGTCGGTATGGAAAAATGAACTGACCTTAACACGATACACGTAATAATTCCCGATGAGTAGTGGATTTTACTGTAAAGAGTAAAATAATGCAGCTTCTCAAAGAGAGAGAACCTGCTGCAAACAGTATCGTTGGCTAAGTGCCTCACCTAACTCCTGCCACACCTTCAGATCCACTGTGGTGTTCACGCCAATGCCAATGACTGGGAATGGCAGAGATGCTAGAACTGAACCATTTCTGCCTGCCAGGGCATCCTTAAAGAACAACATGTGCTCTGGGGTTCCCCATTAGCCTGACAGACACTGCCTCACACTGCAAAGCATTACGAAGTCTGAGGTTTTTCCTAGTCAATATTTCCTCTTTCTTTGTTCTCTCACTGATGCCAGATGTAGAGTAAAATCCTAAGGCTCTCCTTGTCTATCCCTGTTCGCTTTACTCTCTATTCTGTGTCAGCTTTTCCTCCACTGAGTCTCTGCCATTTCTACTTTCATCATAGCACCTACTTCCCAGAAGACTTGAACTGACACCATTACCATTTTGAAACTGTTAATGAATTAAGGGCCTAGCTTTTGGACACCAAAGATCACGAGAACACATATAGAAAAACCACAAGCCGTCATGTTCTCCAAGGAAAAATGCACACATCTTCCTAGTTTTGAGGAAAAAAAAAATGCATACACACACACACACACACACACACACACACACACACACACACACCATTTCTAGTTTTGAGACAAAATACATCCCATACACTTACATTCCACCTTCCAGGCAAAAAGGAGTAACAGGAACCAACTTATTCCAATGCCTAAAACAACCAAAAAATCTGACCAAATATATCAAAAAGCAGTTCTCAAACACTGGCTAGCAGGCAGCACAGGAAAGTGATCGCTGAAAGAGGGGAACCAAATAAGATGAGGCATACCATTATCTTAACTGCCTCTGGAGTTTCCAATGTGCAACGTGGGAAACCCAAACGAAGCCCAGCAATCTCCCCAAGTTGAGAAGACAGAGCTAGGCATCCACGAAGGCCAAGGTGTCTAGCGTTTGCAGGGCCAAGTACTGGAGAAGACAGAGCTGCACAGAAAGTGAGCTCCAGGGATCTGCAGAGGGGTCCCTGCACATCAACCACTGAGTACTGATCAGCATACGTTTATGAGGGGACACACCAAAATCCAGGGAAAGAACAACTCAATGTGAGAATAATTTTTGCAGCTAATACAGTGCCAGGAATAGCTCATGCTCCCACCAGCCAGAGTGGAAAACCTTATAATTCAAGGAGCAAAAGCAAGAATACTCAGAAAGGTACTGCCTACAGTAGGCAAAATTAGCCCTATATTAAAAGCTGCTCTGGTGTCATCTTTAAAATCTTAAACCCAAGCTTCAGAAAGATCAAACTACTTCTAAATAACTTAACTCAGTCCCAGAAAAACAGCTCAAGATTATTTATAGAAACACAAAATATTCAAAACTCAAAAAAAGGTATGCTTCACTTTGTTTGGTGGTATCCAATAAAAAACAAGCAGGCAGGTAATGAGGCAGAAAAATACAATACATAATTCGAAAATGGACTCAGTTGAAATCTCCCCATAAAGGACTCAGATGACAGAACTATAAAAACAAGAACTTTAAAAGTTACTATATTCCATATGCTCAAGCAACTAGAAGACCAAGCCTGTTAAGTAGACATGAAATATATAAATAAAAACAAAAGACTCAGATTGAATTTCTAGAGATAAAAACATGGGCTTATATAAAAAATACACTGAATGAGGTAAGTGGTAGATTAGACACTTCAGAAGTTGATTAATAAATTTGAAGACAAAGCAATATAAACTATCCATAGATAAACACAGAACAATAGCAACAACAAACTGAAGGAAAAAATGAGCAGAAAGCTGTGGGGTAAGCTTAAGTGGCCTACTGGAGTCCTCTGTGTAACTAAGGTCCTCATAAGGCAGGGCGGGGGCGGGGGGGAGCGGGGGAGACACAGTAATATCTTAATATGTAATGGCTGAAAATTTTCCCAATTTTATGAAAACTATAAACTGTCAAATCGAAAAGTCCCAACAAACCACAACCAAAAGACATATTTAGAAAATTAGTCAAGGTATACTATAATCAAATTGCTTGAAACCAGGGAGAAAACAAAAATCTTAAAAGTAGCCAGAGTTTAAACTCACACATATTAAATGCAGAACAGAAGCAAGGGTGACGGCAGACTTCCCCCTCAAAAACAGTGCAAATCAGTAAATATATGCAATATTATTAAAGTAATGAAAGAAAAAAACTGTCAACTCAAATTCTATAACCAGTAAAAACGAAAGTGAAACACAATTGAAATAAAAGAAATCCAAACTGGAAAGGGAGATGTCAAACTATCTCTGTTCACAGATGGCATCATCACACATATAAAAAACTGTAAGAAATTCACCTTAAGAACTATTAGATCGAAACTAGTAAGTGAATTTAGAAAGGTTGCAGGATACAAAACCAAGAGACAAAATCAATTCTATTTCCATACACTAGCGACAAATAATCCAAAAATGAAATTAAGAAAATAATTCCATTAATAATAGAATCAAGGGGCGCCTGAGTGGCTCAGTCAGTTGAACGCCTGACTCTTGATTTCAGCTCAGGTCGTGAACTCACGGTTTGTAAGACTGAGCCCCGTGTCAAGCTCCTGTGCTGGGTGTGGAGCCGGTTTAAGATTCTCCCTCTCCCTCTGCCCCTCCCGCCGCTCTCCCCAACTCCCCCCAAAAAATAGCATCAAAAAGTATTAAACACTTAATCTTTAGAAATAAATTTAACAAAAGGGATCTTTAGAAATAAATTTAACAATTTAACAAAAGATATGTACACTTTAAAACTGTAAAACATTGCTGAAAGACACTGAAGAACTAAATAAATGAAAAGGTATCTCACATACCATATTCAAGTACTAGAAGACTTGATATTAAGTTGAGAGTACTCTCCAAATTTATCTAAAGATTCATTGCAATTGCTATCAAAATTCAGGCTGACCTTAGTGCAGAAATTGCCAAATTGATTCTATGATCTCTACAGAAATTTAAGGGCCCAGAATAGCTAAAATATTAAAAAAGAAGAACTCAGAGGACTTACATTTCCTGATTCCAATACATAATTCCAAACAGTAATTAGCTTGTATTGGCAGAAAAATAGAAATGTAAAGCAATGGGATAGAATTGAGAGTCCACAAATAAACACTTACATTTACATGGTAGGAGATTTTCACAAGGGTGCCAGGATGATCAGAGGGAAAAGAATAATCTTTTCAACAAATGATGCTGGGACAACTGGATATCCATACGCAACAGAATGAATGTGGGTCACTATATACAAAAATTAAATCAAAATGGATCAAAGACTAAATGTAGCATCTCAAATAATAAAACTCTTAGAAGAAAATATTGTTGTAAATCCTTGAGAACTTGGATTAGGTATTGATTTTTTAGATATGACAGGAAAGCACAGGCAACAAATGAAAACAAATGATAAACTGGACTTCAAAATTAAAACTTTCATGCTTCAAAGGTCACCAATAAGAAAGTGAAAGAATGCACAGAATGGGAGAAACTATTTGTAGTTCATAGATGTACAAATAGGGACTTGAAGATGGAATTTATAAAGAACTCTTTTAACTTCCTCAGTAAGATGACAACCCAAATGAAAAGTTTCTGAATGGACATCTCTCTAAAGAACATACACAAATGGCCAAGAAGCATAAAGAAATGATTATTATTAGTCATTAGGGAAATACAAATCAAAACCACAATGAGATACCACTTCATACTCACTAGGAGGGTTGTAATAAAAAGAATAGCTATAAAATGTTGGCAAGAATGTGAAGAGACTGTAATCCCCAAACATCGTTGGTAGAATGTAAAATGGTATAGCCACTTTGGCAGTTCATGCAAAGGTTAAACATAGAATTACGATTTGACCCAGCAATTTTACTTCTAGGTAAATACCCAAGAGAAGTGAAAACATATATCCACACAAAACCTTGTATGTGAATGTTCGTAGTAATGTTATTCATATAGCCAAAAAGCCTAACAGCCCAAAAGTCCTTCAACTGGTGAATGGATAAACAAAATATATATTCAGCCATAAAAAGTAATGAAGTAATAATACATGATACAGCATAGATAAACCTTGAAATCATTATGCTAAGTGAATGTAGCCAGCCACAAAAGGTCACATATTATAGGATTCCATTTACATGAAATGCCCAGAATAGACAAATCTATAGAGACTAAAGTAGATTAGTGGTTGCTAGGGACTAAGATGAATAGGGAATGGGAAGTGACTGCTAATACATAATGGAGTTTCTTTCTGGGATGATGAAAATGTTCCAGAATTAGACTGAGGTGATGGATCCACAACTCTGTAAATATACAAAAATAAAACAAAACAACAACAACAACAACAAAACACCCAAACACCCAATGAATTATACATTTTGAAAGGGTAAATTTTATGATATGTAAATTATATATCAATACGAAAAAAAAAAAAAAAGACCGCTGACTAAGCAAAAGAAATAACAATGTATTGGGGGGTTTTACCTATAGAAGTAAAATGTATGACAATATCACAAAAGTCAGGACATAGACTGCTGAAAGGTCCTCAAAATTCTAGGTGAAGTGGAAACTATAACTTAAAATAGGCTGTGATAGGGGCACCTGGGTGGCTCAGTGGGTTAAGTGTCTGACTCTTGATTTTGGGTCAGGTCATGATCTCACAGTTCAAGAGATGGAGCCCTGCATAGGGCTCCATGCCGACAGTATGGAGCCTGCTTGGGATTCTCTTCCGCTCTCTCTCTGCCCTCCCCCACTTACACGTGTGCACACACAACATAAATAAATAAACATCAAAAAAAAATAGGCTGTGCTAAGCTAAAGATGTATACTATAATTCCCAAAGCCAGTGAAATAGCCCAAAAAAGAATTATAGTTAATAAGCCCTCCCAAAATATGGACTTAATCCAAAAGCAGGCAATTGTTCAGTATAAAATGCACAAATCATCACATGAAAAAAACACTTTCAACTTTTAATAAGAACTTGCAAATTCAACTACTATTCACATCTCAGTGTAGAGTGGGTACAATGAGGATACAAGTAACACAAGTAGGGCTTCTGGGCTCATCCCAGGTAAATCCTATAGATTTCTAAACATAACGATCAGCAACAAACTAGATATTGGAAATGTACTCAAGAACTGAACTGGGAACCCCTTCTCTAAAGGGGTTCGATAGTAAATATTTTGGCTTTGTGGGCAGACACTATGGTAGCAACTCTACCATTATAATACAAAAGGAGCAATAATATTAAAAGTATAAGTGTGCGTATATTCCAATACACCTTTACTCACAAAATAGGCAGCAAGGAAATTAGGCCTATAGGTGAAACATTGCCAAACCCTGACTTACCCTCTGGCTGGGGAGACAAAATGTAACAAAAAGTAAAATAAAATAAACCTATCAGGTAAGAGTCTACAGCAAAGGAATGTACAAATACTATTACAAAGGCAACAATGAAGGAGGAATCAATGACTGGGCTGTAAAGAGTCTTTATGATATTTTTAAAGTAAAGGAAATAATAATAATGTAGGGGAAATTTTCTTTTAACAAAATTTCTTTCTTATATATAGAGGTTTATCTACCATCACCTAACAAATTCATATGAACAAAAATATAAAGGACACTTAATAAAAGAAAAATTCATTGTCAATTTGATTTACTAACTTCACATATATCAGGATGTAGGTCTTTTGACACATACCAAGATAATAAATTTTACTTAACTAAGCCTGAAGGCAAACCTAGACATTTTAGATCAAAACCTTTGAGTAATCTACATACTTTATATTCATACCATGTAAAGTATCCCAGAATCCTCTGTACCTTTTAAGATTGCTTGTAGATTATCTAATGTTCTTTCAAGGACTCTTCTACCCTTATCTATCAGATATTGGTCAGCATTTATATATCTATCAGATATTGGTCAGCATTTATAAAGATTGAAGAGTAAGGGAAAAAAAGGGAAATTACTGACCTGTTCATCTACCGAGTCTCCTGCACCTTTTAAAGACTCCATGGAGACTGAAGCAGCAGTAACCTTGGAAGTCTTAAGTTTGACATCAGCTTTTGGACTCAACTTGTGTCTTGATCTGGCATTTCCTTCCGTAGAAATTCCTAAGGATTTCCATCAAACAAGATACTAAAATTATACCTTATTCTCTTAAACTCGCCCCCCCAGTAAGCACTTCTCCAATATCCCTCCTTATGGGACCCCACAGGGAAAATTCTACTTTATAAACTTCATTTTAAACCTCTTAATAAATAATGAACCATGGAAAGATTATGTTTTGAATACATTTAAGGTTCAACTTAAATATTTTTAAAAGGTGATGTGGAAATTCATAAGTCACATTAAAACTTATAAATCTTAAGATACAGTCAATATATACCTTAATGTAGGGGAAATTAAAAATCTGATTTTTCACATAGTCAGAGTACCTTCAGTGGTTCAGTTTAACATTCATTTAGTAATAACCGGTAAGCTTTAAGGAGTCTATCACATAAACCCTGTATCAAGAAGTTTTCACATTTTTCTTTGAACTATAAAATTTAGTCTATTATTTGTAATATAAAAAAATAAGAATCTCTTGCTTTTTAAGAGATGAAATGAAATGTTCTACAAGTTCATCTAAAGCTTACTTGCCTGACCAGCCCATAAAATAAGGCAGTATTTCAAACCTTATAGGTTTGAAACCTATAGGTCAAACCAAGTTGTGTTTTTTTTAAATTACTTTCCAATGAATTGTTCTGCCTCTAGTTATATCGGCAAAATGGTCCTACTGTTTTATTTTCTCCTAACACTTAAGAAGCAAAGGAAGCTTACAAAATTAGTACAGAAAACCATACCTGGAACATACACTACTGATTGCTCTTCATCAGAAACTGTGAAGAAGGACATGAAGGAAAATACTAAAAAAGATCGTCCAATATCCAAATGCTGCCTCTGTTCTGTACTTCTGTTAGAATTTCTAATTTCTTTTGACCTGGGAATTTATAACTAGCTTTTAAAAACAAAATTAGAAAGCAATGCAACTGAAATAAAATGTAGTAAACTTAATCTTTTAAAGTTCATCTTTACATAGTCCCACTATATGTTTTGTGAAATTTTTGGGAGGTCTTCTTCCATAAAACTTTCACCCATGCTTATTTCCAAGTGAGATATCTTGGAATAATAAATTCTGCTGTGAAATTCCTTTCTTTCATTACCTTTCCTTTTGTAAGCAAGGAGTTAAATGCACCAGTTTGTTTATTATTGGAGAACGGACAAGTTATTTTAGGCATGAATAAATAATTTCAAAATGAGCTTTAGCTCTGAAGAACAAACACTGTTTGAGGGCAAGTCCATCATGCAAACACAGAAAGGTTTTATTCTTCTGCAGTGCATTCATGAAATGTCCCAGAAGCCCTATGATTTAACAAGTGGAAGAAATTGAAGACAAAAAGAACTATTTTGAATTTCAAAAGGAAAAATTTAGAAAGGCTAAGATCATAATAGTGTTATAGAACCAATATAATAAGAAAGCTTTCTTTAAGAAACAAAATCTTATTCAGAACTATATCTAAATCCAGATAAGTCCACAATTTGATAACCTTTGATTACACTTCCGGGAAGTAAGTGTGTAAACAATTTTTTCCAAATGACCTACAAAATTCCTGTTTTCTGTTCTTTCATAAAATGCTTTCTTCTCCGAGATTTCTAGACAAATCAATTATTAAAAATTTCCTTCCAGGCAAAGGCTGGAGTAAAATAGTAGATTTAACAACATGTTAAAAAAAGTCAATATACATCAGTTCAGGGTCACTCCTAGCTATGGAATCTTTTCAAGGAGGCTGATTGTTAAGTGCTCAGAATCCCCATAGGAATTTAGGAATACAAAGGGGGTGCTACTATGTGAGCCGCCAGGTGATTTCCAACAGCTCTCTGCAGCAGCACACAAATACTGCCACAGATTCAAGATTTGCGCTGATAACTAGTGCCTCTACACTTCAAATCCTCTCAGACATCAGGTATGGAGCTCAGAAAATGTTAAGGGGCACAGAAGACAAGTAAACAAACAAAATCAGACCCCACTAGTCTAAGGAAATTGACAGCAGCTAACACGGGAGCAGAGAGAAAATTTACAAATTCACTGACACCCAATCTAAAAAAAGCCTTGCAAAATGAAATTATGCAGCCTCTTCAACAGCAAAAACCAAGTCGTTTTTTATATCCCTTGGGACTAGTGCACATAGGTTCTCAATAAATAATCTGCTGTTAGAGATACCCACATGGGAAGGTACCCAAGGGAAAAATATTCAAGATGATTCAGGACAAGCTCCATTTGGCAACATCTTCAATTAGAAGATACAGTAATGATGAATTTGCAGAATATTCTCCAAAGACAACCTATGGAAAGACTAACATAACTGAATCCTGGGAAACACACTAGACTTCCCTAGAACATTCATGAAGAAGACTGCTCACAGCTGGAACAGACCAGCCACTGAGGAACCAACTCAGCTGCATCATGATTTGGAAGCTCATCAAGTATCTTCTCTCAAACCTGATGCCACCTCCCACATCCTTACTCTGAGCTAATAACTGTTTCCTTTTTAGGAAAAGCAAACTGTAGAGATCTTTCATAGCTTTATTTGCAGATGACATATTACATATAGAAAACCCTAAAGACTACAAATAAAACCATAAGAATAAATGAATTCGACAAAGTTGCAAGATGCAAAATCAGTATAAAAAATCTGTCATGTTTCTCTACATGAATAGAAACAGAAAAAGAAGAAAACAATCCCATTTACAACTGCATCCAAAAAGAATACAATACCTAAGAATTTAAAATTTAAACAAGCAGGTGAAAGACCTATACACTGAACACTGTAAGACATTAAAGAAATTGAAGACACAAACAGAAACTTATTCCATGGTTATAAAGTGTAATAATTAATATTGTTAAAAATGTCTATACCAAAGCAATCTACAGATTCAGTGCAATCTCTATCAAAATTCCAATGTGATTTTTCATAGGAATAGAACAAACAATCCTAAAATTTCTATGGAACCACAAAAGGCCCTAAACAGCGAAACCAATCTTAAGAAAAACAAAGCTACGGACATCATGCTTTATGATTTCAAACTATATTACAAAGCTATAGTAATCAAAACAATGTGGTACTGGCATAAAATCAGACAAAAGACGCCCATGATAGCTACCCTTTTCCTGCTTTTTCTTTATATGTCACCTATAATCATTGGGCATACAACATGTTTTACTTATTCATGACCTCATCTCATCTCACAAAAACGTAAGCACCAAGTGGAGGAGGATTTTTCCCCTGGTTTTGTTCAATGTTATATCCCCTAATGTCAAATGCCCAGCTCGTAGTGAACCGTCTATGAAAGAATTAAAGTGATATTTAATTCTATAAAGAACAACTTTTCCGTGTTGTCTTTCTATCCTGTAGGGATTCAGAACTGATCACCCCAAATGTCCACTTTGGCATGTGGATTATTTTGACCAGAAAACAATCAAGGCCCAAAAGACTCATGAAGAATCCTTGTCCCTGCCACTAATTGCCTAAAAGAATTTAGATGTAGGACCTGCTCCCAGAAGAGAGAATCACCATAAATAACTATGTATAACATAAACTAGGAGTGGTAGATAGGAAGGAATTTAGCAAAGTCTGTTTGTTAAATTCCTTTCTATGTCCCATTGTTTCTATATGGCCCAGGAAACATTTGTTTACCAAACATTTATCCCTTTTCACCTTCCTGTGAATTGCTTTCCTTGCCTTTAAAGTCCCAGATCCCTATTCCCTTCCCCTTAGTTTGGGATGACATATATACCTCATTTCGCTTGTCTTTGGAACCTCACACAGATATATAGATTCCCCATATATACGTAATTAAATTTGATTTTCTCCTCTTAATCTATCTTATGTCATTTTAATTCTTAGACCAGCCAGAATTACCTTGAAGGGTAGAGGAAAATGTCAAAATATGCAGGCAAAACCCATCAGCCACATTCATGCTAAATATCTTTTCAAATATAAAAATGCTAAATTAACCTTAACATGGGTTTTAAAAAAATAAACATAAAAATATTTGAAATTGCCTCCATCCAACCTATCCTTTGTAATCATTGGTAATCTATCTTCATTCAAGAACCCAAATAATTTACTTTCTTCAAATACAAAGTCTGAAAAATATACAAACATATTTCACAGGAAAAGTCAAAGAGACACAGTATATACCAAATGTCTACTGGACCTCTTACTGGGTTCTATGTGTCACCTCAGTTCTACTTCGGCTTCTTTGGAAGTTCTTTACTAAGACAAGTACAGCAAATTATAAAGCATCCTTAATGCTAGTACCAAACTCCAAATCCCCAGAATTAAAGCAGTAATTAGAAACCAAAAGTACAGAGGAAGGAGCATATCTATCTCAGATCAACAAAAGCTGAAGAAAATAAACTTGGTGTTGCACAGCCTAATCTAACCTTTTTTAGTTTCACTTACCAGCAACACACGTATATGTATGTAATTATCATTGACCCAAATGACTTTCCTGGCTGGTATATTCTCTTAACATCAACATAAAGTCTCTATCTGTAATTGAATATTCAATGGCAGAGATTATAGCTACTGCAATGTTTTGACCAAGTCCCTTACAGTTCATATTTGTTAATATCAAGTTAAAAATACAGTTAATGAGGGGCGCCTGGGTGGCTCAGTCGGTTAAGTGTCTGACTTCAGCTCAGGTCATGATCTCGCTGTCC